TTAACAATCTTTATTTGAGGAAAACTTTCTTAAATAAGGCAAGAAAACCAAACACCATAAGGAAAATGATTCAGAGTTGATTATATTTAAAATGGAAAGTTTTTGTACGGCCAAAGGCAGCATGAACAATGTTAACAGATGAGTGCAAGGTTGGTCCAAATATTTATAAAGTATAGGAAACAAAAGGTCAATATGGTAAATAATTTGCAAAGATGGCCATAGTAATTCCTCCCACCCCAGTGCACATGCTTCTTTGCAATGTTACTTTGCTGCTCCTGCCATCAGGAGGAGTGTATTTCTCCCCCAGAATTTGATCTGACCCAGTGATTTATTTAGCCAATACAGTGTGGCTGAAGTGACATTGTACAAGGTCATCAAGAGGCCTTGCAACTTCTGCTTTTAGTCTCTTGCTTCTGTGAGTCCACCATGTAAAGACATGTGGCTAGGCCCTGTCTGGTGTAGCTCAGCTGGGTAGAGCACTCTCCAGATACTCTGGGTTCAATCCCCAGGTCAGGGCACATACAAGAATCAGCCAATGAATATCAACAATCTCAGTATGTGGATTCAGTAAATTAAAGTATTCTCTCTCTCTTCCTCTTCCCCCTCCCTAACTCTCTCTAAAATCAATAAATAGAACATTTAAAAAAATATAAATACATGAGGATTAAAGACCATATGGACAGAGAGTGAAGGTGACAGCCAACACCAATCAGAGGTCATCTTGGACCATCTAGCTCATGTCAAGCTAACAGAAGACTGTAACCATATGAGTAGTCCCAAGGTGAGATCAGCAGAACCACCCAGGTGAGTTCAGAGAAGTTGCTAACAAACTCATAAGCAAATAAAGTGGTGGTTGTTTTAAGTCACTAAAGGTTGGTGTAATTTGTTTCACAGAAATACCTACATGGGACAGTTATCCATAATTTATAAAGAATCGTAGGGATAAGAGCAAACAGCCTGCTTGGAAAATTGGCAGGCAAGTCACGAAACAAGAATCACAATGGCTGTTGCCTTGAGTCAGAACTGGAGGAGTCTTGCTGATGGCCTGGAACAAGAACTTGGGCTCCACAGTCAACCTGCCTGGGTCTGAATCCTGGCTCTGCCCCACCACAGCTGTGTGGCCAAATGCAAGTTACCCAGACCTCTCTAGATCTCAATTTCCTCATCTATGAAATGGGTATATTACCCATTGGTATTTATATTACCAATGGGTATAAATACCATCTATCCTACAGGGTCATTGTAAGGAACCTTACTTTTATTAAGTACAAATAAATGTTTCTTTTGCTTCTATTGCTATAAACAACTCAGATGAACCTTTGAATCCAGAGAAGCAGGGAGTACAAGAAGCTAAGTTCGTTTATTGAATGCAACTAAAAGGACAAAAGGGGTAAAGTGTGTGTAAGATGGTAATTAGGAGATAAAGAACAAAGGCATTTAGTTACATTTCAGAGTTTGGTTTGCTTTAATGTTACTGTAAAAATAACCAATTTGATGTTTTATAATACTTGCTTAAATGTCACTCTTAATGAGTTCTAGCTTTACTACTTAAAATCTGTAGAAATTCATGGTTCTAAATGTGACTGAGATTTAATAGAGAGGCACTTTGCAAATGTCAAGTAAAATAGGTATTATTATTACTATTACCTATTGTTTATATATTTTGAGATATTCTGTCTTTCAAGTTGTTTTTATTATATATAACTATTTTCTTCCTATTATGAAGACATATGAAAGAACTAATCTGCATATCTGATCAACATGAGCCAAACTTAATGAGGAGATTTCATTCAAAAGTGAGTCAAGTTGATGTCTCTGTGTATCTTATGCAGCTATTGCAAACAACTATATAATTTCTTACTAGATATTTTAAAATACTGAAAATAGTGCGAAAACTAACATCATTATTTTTATGACATAACCAATCGAGATAGTGTGCTCAAAGCATTTTACTGCCACCTCATAACAGCACACCTCCAGTACAGGGACAGGCACAGAGTCAAAAAATCTATCCCCCAGTATGCTGAAACTACCAAAAGAAAATCATGTTAGGTCAAGTATATATGTGTGTGTGTTTATATGTGTGAATATATATATATGCACACACACACACATATGTAATGTATCAATGTGTGTATATATACTTATGTTCATATTTTACACAATAAAATTGCCGAGATGTGTTTGAAAATATAAACTGTTAAAAGGCTTTCTCTCTTATAGTCAACATGATGACTTTTCCAAGAACTTGGATACAAATAATCTTCAAAGGTTTTAACATTACAAAATAACAAAAACAAATTAAGCAGCTTCTACCTATACAACCTTGGGCAAGTTAGTTAACCTCATTTTTTAAAAATATGAAACAAGGATAATAACAGTAACTAATTTATGTGGCATTTTTGCAAGGATTTGAAAAGTTAATATATTGAAAGTGTTAAGAACAGTGTATGACACATAGAGGCAATTTGCAAATCTTAGCTATTATTGTTATTCTTACTACTATTTTATTGGGTGTCCTCCATATGTCAAAGTCACCAGATTTTAAATATGAGTGTATCTTTTTTTAAATGATCTCAAAATATACTACAACTTGGTATATTTATGGAATATGAAGTTCTGATTCAACCTCATATTTTAGAATGTATTAAGCAGAGATAACAAAAATATAATTAATTTTTCAGTTGCAAAGAATGATTTTAGCAGCCTAAGATAACACAGACCCAATGGATTTAAATGGAGCTTAAGATAGGTTAAAATATCCAGTAAACAGAAAGAATATAGCATCCACACTTTCGTTTTCTGATACACCTGCTACTAGCGAATTTACTTTCTGGCTGAAAACAGGCTAATAAATGTCTTTTGCAGACCTCCTCACTTGGTGGAACATACATTCTCCATCTGAATCATAATTCCTTTAGGGAGTCAGAGGGCCAATGAAATAACTTTAGTCAGGAAGACTATAAAACTTTTATAATAACAAATTACAAAAGAGAGTAAAATTATGAACTAAACTGTTAAACTCATCATTCTGCCTGGATACGTGCATTGAGTGGACAGAATAACTGAATGCTTCCATACGATAAACTGAAGCTGGTGGGTCAGTAGTTCTTTGGGACTCAGGTTATTCCTAGGAGAGGTACTCTTTCTAAATCCGGCATTTCTTCTGCTCTCCTGGGGCAGTTCTTCAGCCAAAAGCCCTTTGGAGAATGTAATCTACTTCCCCTTTGCAGTTCCCACTTCCACCAGCTGCTTCTCTCATTACCTTACTGTTCAGGCAGAAAAGGCTGGCCCCAGGTTCTTCTAATGATAGCAAGCACCTCATAAAGAAATCTGCCAAATTTACTTTTCCATAGAACATCACTGTTACAACTTTTTCATGAGTCCACGAGGAAAGAAAGCATCATGTATAAAATATGACTTCCAGAAATCTTGAAGATATTAAGTATTATTCCTCCATGACTGGTGGGTGTACCAGGCTACAGAATGGCAGTATCTTCAATTTCCCCAAAGGAATCCCTTCACTCTGTCCTTATACCTGTTTGCCCATAGAAGAAGGTGAGAGGACCCCACAACGTTAGGGCATTTTCAGAAATGTCCTAAGTTTAAGAAAACCTTCAGCTCTGGGTGAATACCTTTCCATTCCTGGTTTTGCATTTGTGTGCAAGGGTCACCCTGCTTTAGTCTATAACACCCTGACAGAGGTAAAACTTGGTGTAATTAATCAAGAGCTTGGGATGTGTGAACTTTGGCAAGTTTCTTAACCTCTCTGTGTACCTCATTTATTTTTTGCATCTGTAAAGGAGATATTAATTATATAGTACCTCATTAAATCAGTTAACTTTTGTACAGCACTTAAAACAGTAGCATAGTAAGAACTGTTTCAAGTGTTGAAGTGAATTTTCTCTTTAAAAGTAAAGTTCTTCCGCAAAAAATTACACAAAGAGGTAAAAAATGAATGAGGCAATGATTGTAAAGTCCTTTAGAAACAATAAATATAATAATATTTATCTCGACATTGCAAAGCATAGAGCTTTAGAGGGACTATTTTGAGGAGGAGCTTTTTTAAGGGCCAGAGAATTCTCGCTGTTTTCTGAGAAAATCCCCGCAGACTTTTACCCATGCCCCAAGTTGACAGTTGTCACTCCCCTAGACCCAAGGAAAAGCGCTTTCCAAGGTAGCAGCAGGAAATCCTTACCTGGGCAACACTTCACTCGAAAATCGGAACTCACCTTTTGTTTGACGCCCACTCCCCAGTTGCGACCATCCCCCACCCCTACACTCTTAGGGCTCTTAGCTGAAATTGATCATTAGAACCAAATTCCTATTCCCAAGGCGACCTTCAGCAGGGGCGGAGCATTGGGAAGAAGTCTTGGTATAAGATTAAAAGCGCCAAGTAACCGCGAGCGAAAGCACGGCAGGTGCCTTAATTCCGCGCCTTCCCGCTCGGCCAAGACCGCACTCCGGAGCCTCTGGTGAGGCCGACGAGAGACATCGGGACCATCGGGACCGACTGCGAGAGGAGAGGTTGTCTACTCTCCTTGCTTTGTGAAAGGGCATACTCGCCGGAGCTCTTGCTCCTAAATCTAGTTTGGGTATATTATCCTATAAAGTCTCCTTCCGCAACCCCTGCCCCCTCCCCTCCCAGAGTTACATTACTCGGCCTCTAAAGGGCCACCAAAGCTTGGCAGAACCGCAAAACAAACACATACATGCTCCATACTTCCTCTGCCCAACGCAAGCCTCGCACCCCCAGATACCTGACCTATGGCAGACCTGGAGGAGCGCGTCCGACAGATGTCGGAGCCAAGTCCAGCCTTCCAGTATGTGTCCCCGCTCCGCCTCTGCCTAAGACGGGTTGCCCTGGCAAAACTGCTGCCAAAACAGTTGCTTTCGGGTGGGGCGGGGTCCCATCTCCTCGCATCCATCGAGCGCTAGCTCGGCACCCAGCTACTCGGGTCCCCGCGGCCACGCGCGCCCCTCTCCGGCGACGCACTCACCTGCAGCTGGGTCCGGCTTGCGTTGCCCGTTGCCGCGTCCGGCCCGTCGGCGGCTCCCGTACCGCGCAACACCGTTATGTGCAGCGTTAGCAGCAGCAGCCCCAGCAGCAGCAGCAGCTCGGCCGCCAGGCGAACCATCCTCTTGAGACGCGCGGCTTTAGGACCCGGCGCGGCGGGCGGTGGCGGCGGCGGCGCCGGGAGAGGAGGAGTCGGAGCTCGGGAGCCCGGCAGCGCGGCTCCCGCGTCGGCCCCAGCCGGGGCCCCGCTCCCCGGGCCCGCGGGGCTGGCGCTGGGAGCGGCGGGGCGCGCCGGGCCAGGGGAGCAGGAGCCGCCGCCGCCTCCGCCGCCGCCACCGCACCACGGCGGAGCCACGGCGGGGCCGGGGGCGTCCAAGCCGGCTGCTGAGCAAACCCGGGCGCTTCCCTGCGGCGGCGGGGACAGGGGGCTGCCCGGGACCCAGGCCGGGCCGGGGACCACCCTGCGGGCAGGGGGCAGCGGAGGCGGCGGCGGGGCGGGCGCAGCCAAGCCCCCGAGCGCACATGGGCGCCCCAGATGTGGCCGCGGCGCCGCAGCTGGAACAGGAGCGGCCGCCAGAGGAGCGCCGGGAGGAGGAGGAGGAAGAGAAGGAGGAGGAGGAGGAGGAGAAGGAGGAGGAGGGCTTCAGTGGCGGCCCGGAGTTACCTCCACGCTGGGCTCCCCCGCCCTGAGCCACTCACCGGACAAGCCACCTCCCCTCCTCCCTAGGCTACCTCGGGACGCGGGACGAGCTGCCCAGCCGCCGAGTGCTAGGGTGAGCTGGCTCCAGATGGGGGCCCCGGGTACACAGGGGTTGTCACTGTTTGGAAGTGACTTGGGCACCCCTCTGGGGTCCGCGTCCGCCTGCCAGGTTGTGCCAAGTGCGCGCCACCGCTGCTGAAGTCACTGCGGCCTGCGAGGGCACGGCCCCTGTGCGCACTGAGGCTCGGGGCTGTGGGTGGATTGGATTGGGGGGAGTGCCTGAGGGAGTTTAGAAACCTTTATTGACAAAGTGGAGTTGGAGTTGTGGTGATGGAGAAGGGAGGGGGCGCAGGACAAGCCAGGTGTCTGTCTGCGACTGTGCGTCCCCGCCTGCAGCTGGCTTGCGTGTGTAAGAGGTGGATAAAGAGTCGTTCCAGAAGGATCTTGACTCTTGCTCCGGGACGGAGAGCCGCCTGCCTCCTGAGCACCGCTGCTCACACACCCGTGTCGCCTTGTAGAGCCTAGAAGGAAGGCGAGTCCAGTTCGCTGGACGTGGGTCTGGCTCGGTGCGCAGGTGTCGCGGCGGTAAGCTTCTGAGGCCGGGTGCTCGCGGCCAGGCTCGCGGAACGCAGGTGGGGCACTGGGGATAAATCTCAGCTCTGGTAGTCGCGGGTCTGGGGGTTCATCCAGGAGGCGCCGCGCCCGGAGGGGACCTGTGGGCTGCAGACGCACAGCCGCTGTCCCTGGGCCACCGCCTCATGACCGCTCTGCAGCCTCGGGCTCCCGCGCGCCACTCATGCCTTGCAGGGGTTGGCTGGCAAGAGAAAGGGCTTGAGTTTGGCAGGGGGCGCGGGGTCCTCGCCTCCGATGCAGGAGCAACTGGGTCCGACGGTGGGCTCAGATCACTCCAGTGGCACCGCACGTTTCCCTCCCTCTGGATCTTGCAGCAGCTCCCGCCTTCCAGAAATGGCTCGGAGTGGTGGGCGCTCTGTATGTCTGGGGCCTTTTATACAGAGCTTCCCCCGCCCCGCACCCGGTTTCCTCCTCCCCTCCTCCCCTGTGCCCGCCCAGCCCTTCCCAACCCGCTAGCGGAGCCCTCAGTCCTGGCGTTCCCACGTAAGCATTTCGCAAATTTCCAAGTCCTTCTCGCATCCAGTGCCTCTGAGATGGGCCCTCACGATTCTCCCTTGGTGACTGATATTAAATAAATAAACAAACCTCTCTCCCCGCCCCATTTCTGGCCGCCTCCTCCCTGTGCTACAAACTGAGGAAAGATTCTTAAATCAACTATTTTATAACTTCACATTTTTAAGCGCAAGGCATCTCAGCTGGGTCTTACCCAAATTAAGACAAGAAACACCTTTATCATCCCGAAAGTGCGGCAAGTCATGGTAGCATTTTGCAGAATTTAAATAGGGGCGGTTAAGGTACGGGATGCTTGTTGGGTTTATTTGTGTCCTGGGAAGGAAGCGCTAGTTGCCGCTTTAAAGATGCCTTCAGCATCTTTAAAATTCTAACCAGCTGTAGAGTCTTATTAATAAGTTGGCAGCTGTTTATAAAGCACGCGATATCTTTTCCTTTGCAGTGTTTGTTTTGGGTGGGAGGATGTTTGGAGGGAGTGCTTGCTTTGGATTTTTAGGCAGCCAGCCCTGTCAGGCGTCTTATTGCGATCTCCAGGCTCTAAAATGCCAATAATTGTCAACTGGAGAGCTGGGGGAGCATTTGAAACAATAGACTGTCCATGGTTCAGATGGGAGATCAAAGAGGATCCCAGCAGCTTTCAGATCCCAGGAGGATCCTCCAGTGTGTTTTCTAATTAGAATCACTTGGGGGTGGGGGGGGGAGCAAGAGAGTCAGCACATGGATGGAATATATAAATTAAGATGGCAAACTAGAATCCTGAAGAAAGACGAAGTTTAGGGCTGGCTCTAACACCCCGCCTTCCCCGCCCCCCATGTGCCAGATTGTGAAGTGGGCGCACAGGGACAAATGACTTTCCTGTTGCCCAAGGCAGGCTGTTCTAAATTAGACTCCAGGCGCTGCTGTGTCCTGCATTTTCATCACACATAGTCCCCACATGTGAACCCCAACTGCCTCTCCTCTCATCTAAAATTAACGTTTTTGGATCCTAAGGAAAAAAAATAACTTTTAAAAACTCTGGAAAGAAATCCTTGCTGTGAGTGTAAATTCGTATAAATCTGTAAAAGGAGAGTTTGAGATCAAAGTCTTTGTAAGGTGTTGTAAAAATTGTAAATTGAATTTTGGGGATAGAAGTCGTTATAAAATGTTGAACAAATGTATGAATAACTGCTATTAAAATCCTTTCACGCTGTGAGATCCAAATTCCAGGTGAGTTTATGTTCTAGTAAGCACACATAACTAGTGTCGATAAATGTCCATGCTCTGTGATTAAGTTGTCAAACAAGGCTGCCAGCAGTGCTCTGCTTTTGAGGAGTTAGGGAACATGGGCTTACAATTTTTGTGGAAAAAGAATGACAGGTTTTAATAACCTAAACAAATTAAGCTTCAAGCACATTTATGAAATACTAGTAGCTGATGAAAGTTTTAAAAAAATCCTACCTCAAGAATTCCCACATCATTGTTTTCATATCTTTATTATTGACCTTACTACCTAGTAAAACATCTTCCATCTTCCCATCTTCCAATCACACCTGGATCAACTTTGTGGTAGAACATTCCCAGAGCATATCTCCTACCCACTACCCACCCTCCACCACTCCAGTATCCAGTTTTCTCCTTCCTGGGTTCACAGCTAAAGAAACATTTTCCTGCAACACCTGAGGCTAGGAGAGACAGTGGAGAACTCTGTTATTTCTATGTCTGGCCATAAAACATTCCTGAGGGATGTTTTCACACAAATTTGTCTTCCTTTCTGCTTGGCAAAGGACTCTGAGGTTACTACAAAAAACAGAACAATTGGACTAGGAATATCTTTATTTAACCTTGCATAGTAAGAAATAAAACTTTGTTGCTTAAAGCACTGTGATTTGGTGATATTTGGTATAGCACCTAACATTACCTGGTCTGAGAAGTAGTGCATTCTTCAAGACAGGGACATCTGCCTCATCATTAATATATTTCTAGTTGCTCAATCAGTGTTTGTTTAATGAATGTAATAAATCTGGTCTTTATTTAGACCCTGCTTAATAAATTAAGTCTCTTGAGAGTTCCTACTAAAAGTGGCTAACCTAAGAATATTAAATCTTCTGTCATTTGTATTATTCCCTCATAGATTACCTTTTATTATTATCTTGCAGAAAAGCTTATTTGACTGGAATATTTGAGGAAAGTAAAACAACAACAACAACAACAACAACACGCCAGAACACCTATGGTAAATATCATTGAAGAGAAACTTGTGGTCTATTATAGTCAAGATTTTATTGTTTTTACTTTATTATTCATTCATTCATTCATTCATTCATTCATTTATTTATTTTTATTGAAAACTGTTGCAGAGCAGCAAAGAGTGTAAGTGCAATCTTTAAAATACAAGTTTTTATTATATATTATACTTTTAAATATATACAAAGGAAAAGAATAATATAATGAATCATTACATACCTAAAACCCAGCTTCAACAAAACTCAAGGCCAATCTTGTCTCATGTATATTATCATATAGTTTCTCCTTCTGAGATTATTTTGAGGAAAATCCATGACATAATATCATTTCACTTGTACATATTTCAATATGTATCTCAAAAAGTAATGGTGAACTTACCTCAGTTCAATTAAAATAATTTTAAACACATTAAATTTTTTAAAAAATTAAACACATGAATAATATATATGAGATTTAAAACAGATTGGAGAAGCCAAAACTAGAGACTTTATTCAGAGTGTAAGAATGATTAGCATTTAGGGATTATGGTGGAAGCTGTTATGTGTTCACCAAAACCCCCTTTTCTCCTCTTCCTGGACGTACTGGTAAACTACATTTCCCAATATCCTGTGCATTTAGATACAGCTATGTGACTGAGTGCTGGCCAATAGAATGTGGGTAGAAGTAATGTGTGCATTTCCCTACCTAGCCCTTAAAAATGTCCTGTGCATGATCTCTTTCTTTTCACCTTGTCTGCAGGCTGGATGTTTCTGCCTTGGATGGTCTTAGTTCAGTGATTAGCGTGGCTCCCTGGAGCAGGGCTCTTACCCCACCTCTAGAAGCTACCTCTACCCAGAACACCATGGCTGGACTATTGTATGGTTGAGAAATAAAGTTTTAAAAACATATGTTAAGCCACCAAAAATTTGGGGTTTGTTACAGGAGCTTACCTTACTCTCACAAACATAGCGGGTAATGCTCCGTAAGGGAGAGGTGACAAATCTTTTCATTACAGGGTCTGTTAGCAGAACTTTTTGTCTTTGCGGAGTTTGAGATTACTGTCACAACTCCTCAGTCCAACTGTTACTGCTACAGTGGGAAAGCAGTCAAAGAAAATACATGAACAAATGGGTGTGGCTGTGTTTTAATAAAACTTTGTATACACAAACAGGGAGCTGGACCACATGACTCAGTTTGCTGATCCGTGTTTTAACAGACTGACACAAGACACCAACTCATCTTAGGAGCCAAGGAGTTACTGTAAAGTGGAGTGGATGGATTCCACTTACTAACCATGTAACCTCTTGGGCAAGTTATTTTACCTCTCCTAATCTGTTTCTTCACCTCTAACTTGGAGCTAAGAATGTCTATCTTGGGCTGTTGCAAAGCAGTAGGACAAGGTGAGTAGTTCCAGTTCTGTCTGTCTGACAGATGAAGGACTCCGTATTGTGTGCATGCAGACGGGGAACTTTTATGTCTCATTCACTTCTGAATTCACGTAATAGATGCTCTGTAAAATATTTGTTCAATGGATGCAGCTTTTAGAAAACTGCTGAAATTGTAGCTGAAAGGAGCCCTAGAGGTAAACTCTAAGCCCTTGAGGAAATACAAATAAACAAAAAGCCTGAAGTGTTCCATTAGAGTCCTTTGAACTATGAAGAACTCACAATGCTCAGAAGTGAGAAAATCACCACCCTCTGAGGCTCAGAGGAGCTCCCAGGGGCTCCAACCCCTGAAACAACAGCTAGTCTTGTGGGATACTTGGACCATCCGCTTCCCGATTATCTAACACATACACAAGACACATGAAGATAGAGGGGAAGCTTGTGGCTCTCCACTTCTCTTTAAAATCTCCTAAATGTTCAAAGAATATAAGAAACCACCAAGTACATGACCTGAAGAGGTTAAAAACATTTATTCAGAATGAGGGATGTCCTTCCCAGGCACCGGCTGGATTGGCAGGGAAATAGGAATGGCTTTTTGAAGGGGTTCATTATGTGCCTTCCTTTTGAGGCAGAGTCCAGAGTGGTATTAAAACATGATGTCGTGCTAGTCCACTGACCTCTCCTGCAAATAGCTATTCCTTGAAGACTTCATATGTTTCATAAGAAGCTCCTCTTTTGCTTTTACTTTACTTATTTCAGTGCAAATTCTGGAAAGCAAAATTAAATATCAGGGACATGTTATAGCTGGAGGAGAAAAGTGCTCATAATTGCAATGTTATATGTTATAGATCATCTAAGTTCTTTTTTTAAAAAATGCCTCACAAATAATTTCTAGCCTGGAAGAGAATAAACTGTTCAGTCAGAATTTAATCTCAGAGTTGGAAGGGGCCCGTAGAGTTTATCCAGGCTTCTTTTACAGATGAGGAAACTGAGGCCCAGAGAATTAAATAGACATTTTCAGTATCTTGGAGGGACTTGGTAGCAGCATTAGGTTCCCCAGCTCCAAGACCAATACTATTTCTATTTTTCAAGGTGAACTTAAAAAATACATATAGGAAAGAGTACATGTCCTAAGTTTATAGCTCAATGGAATTTTTACTACTCAAATAAAGAAATAGTGTATTACCAGTACCCCAGAAGCTAATTACCCAATTGTAACCAATATTCTGACTTTTATCACCATACATTGGACTTGACTTTAGAAAAAAATAATACAATTTGCATTTTATAATATATCTCTTTTGTATCTGCCTTCTTGTGGTACCTTCTATCCCTCTCCCCAAACTTTTATTTTGAAAAAATTCAAATCTATTGAAAAGTTGCAAGTATAATTGAATGAATTTCATTGGGATAAATTGTACAAATGACCAACATTTTCCTGTCATTGTGTCAAGGCCATTTACAAAGTGGATTTGCAGCTTCTCCCATCACAATGAGGGGCATTCACTCCTTGACTCTGTGCTGGCCTTTGTGATTGGCTTTGACTAACAATGTAGCACAAAAGGATATTTCACCAGTTCTGTGGGCAGCCCTCAAGAAGCCTTGCATGTTTCCATTTTCTCTTTCTGTGTCTGTCTTGGAGCTTTGCTGCTTCCATGTAAATAAACCAGGACTAGCCTGCTGGAAGAAAAAAGACAGGGTCCTAGTCAACTGCAGCCAGCAACCAGCCTATTCCTAGAAGCAGGTCCACCCAGCTGACCTGTTGCTGATCAGAGATACTTAAGGAAGCCCAGCGGAGATCTTGCAGAAACCACCTAGGTGAGCCCAGCTTAAATAGCATGATGAAGTTCTGTTGTGTGGGGGTTCGTCATATAGTAAAAACTGATCATTCAAATGTTCACCCCCAATACTTCAGCACATCTCTTCTAAGAATAAAGAGATTCTGCTACATCATCAAAATATAATTAATCATCATGCTGAAGACATTTAACGTCAATGCAATAATATCTAATTTACAATCTATACTCAAAATTTTCAAATTGTCCCTACAATATCCTTCTATCCAGGATTCAGGTGAAAATTACTGTGTTTTAAAAATTGAGATATAATTGACTTATTATATTAGTTTTAGGTATATACAATGATTCAATACTTGTATATATTGCAAACTGATCACCACAATATCTAGTTAACATCCATCACCATACAATAGTGATGACTTCCTTCTTGTGATGAGAATTTTTAAGATTTACCCTTTTAAGAACCCTCAAATATATAACTGGAAGTTTGTACTTTTGATCACCTTACTTGTTGCATTTAATTGTCATTGTCATGTCTTTTTATGTCTGTCTTTAACAGTCCCCATCTCCTCCCCACATTTTTCTTTTGGTCTTTAGTGTCACTAACATTTCTTAAAAAGTCGAGCCAAGTTGATTCTGCAGGATACCTTCAGTTTATACTTGTATGACTGCTTTTCTAAGATTAATCTTGGATCTGCACTTTGGGCAGGATACCAGCTTGATGATGCTGTGTTCTCAGTGTGTCACATCAGAGGGTCCGTAATGACAATTTGCCTAATTTTGGGGAACTCACTTTCAAGATGCAGAAATCTTGAGCCGTTTTTATGGGGTTAAGTGGGAAGAGTTCTTAATTGAAAATATGTTGGTGTGTTATAAGTTTCATATGTGGAAAGAAAGAATACAGAATTTCTGGCAATCTCTTCTACTTTGTTCTAAGTTGTCAGTCTTGTCCAGTTTCCTCTGGACAGTGGGCTGTGGCTATAGTAGAGGGTTACTTTCTTCTATAAATCAGTTATTTTTTTTAATTTTCTCTCAAAGTCATTATCAATTCATTCTTATAGTTTAGACTTAAATTCTGTTTTTTTTTGTTAGAAAAATAGGATTGGTGTACAAAGGAGAAATAAATTTGTTATTAATTACAGTTCCCTTCAGTGATTTAAAAATAGTAAAACCTTAGCTTTATGATGCATTTTTAAATGCAAATAATCTAAATATACTTAGGGAAATGAAAAAAGCTTAGTCAAATGAAGGAAAAAGACAACAGGTTGGACACGTTAACTCTTTTTTTACAACTAAAGTGTAGCTAATATAGTCTTTTCAATAGACCCAAGTGGGGTTATATCTGAAAGCAAGCTAAAACTAGTAAATTTGCATTCAGAAGTGAATTTAATGACAGCAGTTCCTCAGCAGAGAAAGATCAAACTGACAACTTTAAGTGCCACATCAGAGATGTCTCCACTCAAAATAGTTTTGCGACTGACTGGTTCTCACATCTTTACTAATAAACACAAGATCTCATCACCAATGCTTGTGGCAGGATTTCACAATGCGTGGGGGTGGAGTGCCTCATTTGTGAGCCAGATGTGTATAAACTGAAATGTGAAGATTCTCACTTGGAAAACTCTAAACAGGATGATGGTGAAAGTTAGATGAGAAATAGCCTTATGGAAGAATAAGCATAAAAAATTGTTTACACATTTTTGGAGCTCAAATTTGGGTGGTTGTTATTTTCCAAAGGTTGGGATTTTCCTTTATTTACCTGGTGTCTAACTTAGTTCTGAAATCATAGTTCAATTTTATCCATAAGCAGCAAACAAAAAGTAGTGTTTTGGAATACAGATTTTAATTGTTGGAGATATGAAAGCCAAATAACACTTTAAAGGGATATTTTGGTTACCCACAAAGATTGATGGATTCCTATACTTTATTGGTGGGTATACAAGTAAACAATGTGATAGTGATATGAGGCACAATGATACTGAAAAAAATTTTATATATGTATTAGTCAGGGAAAGTAACACTGGCTGCGATAACAAACAGTCACCAAAATCTCAATGGCTTAACAAATTAAAAATTTATTTCTTGCAAATTTGAATATTTTGGCCTTCAAGAGAAGTCTTCCTTGTATTAAGGGGTCCCAGGTTCTTTTATTTATTGGCTATGTATTTTCTAGAACCTTCTCCAGCTGACTAGGGAATAGAGAAGAGTAATGGAGACTTGCTCAGGAAGCTTTAAGGCCAGGCTACATGACTTTTGACTTCATCACATGGTCCAGCCAACCTCAAGAATGGCTGGGAAAAACAGAATTCCTGTATGCTTAGGATGAAAATAAAACTAGTATGTTGAATGCACAGTTCTTTTTCCTCTCTAAATTACCTCTTCCAAAACACCACTCATTTTCACCAGTATGTAAACAAAAATACATAATGTCATGGATGGACCAGAGCAGGATTCAACAAATTTTTTCTGTAAGGGCTGGAGAGTAAGCATTTTCAGCTTTTTGGGACAAGAGAAAAATTAAGAATATCATGTATATAATAACTTTATAGTATACATGTTTTAAATGTAAATACCATTTTTAGCTCAGGGAGCATACGAAAAGATACAGTATGCTGGGTGTGGCCTGGGGCCATAGTTTTCTGACCCCTGGACTAGAGAAACTCTTAACAGGAAATACTTGGCACTCCACAATTTTGTTTCTCAGATTCTTTCCTAAGCTGATTTTGACTTTGGTTGAAATTTTTCAAATGACCATTTGTGTCAAATTATATGAGAGCATAGACTTAATTGATGTCATGATGATTATTCAGAAAAAAACAACAGTTACACTCTTAGGATATAGTAATTAAAATAACATTTATTATAAACTAAACAACAAATAAAAAGTAGGTTATATTTTAAAAACTGAACCTGTATGTCATTGTAAAAGGGTTCATTTCTGCAGCATAATCCAGTTATATCATGCTGTTCTTTTCAGTCCACTTTATTTGTAATGACTATTTAATGAGATTCATCTAGTACTTCAGCTGTCTCAATTAAAAAATCAGATGTTGCCTTTTTCTTTGCTCTTCTTTCTCTCTTTGTTTTGGAATGGTTGCTTTTTCTGGATATTGTATAACTGGGTAATAATATTAAGGAGAAACTAGAATCATGGAATAGTCCAGGCCAAGACATGTAGGAGATGCCTGTTTGG